TGTTAGCCAGGCTGGTCTCGAACTTCTGGCCTCACGTGATCCACCTACTTTGGCCTCCCAAAATGTTGGGATTATAGGCGTGAGTCACCACGCCCAGCCTGACATTTGTTTATTCAACAAATATTTACTGAGCACTGCCTACTAGTCTAGGAGCTTGAGATAAATCAATGAACAAAAGAGACCCCAAAATCCCTCCCCTCACAGAGAAGTAGTGGAGAGAGAAGACAATACATTGATGTGATAAATAAGTTAATTATGAAGACTGCTAAGGGAGAAGTGGCCTGGCGCCAGCACACTGTTTCCTCCTTGGAAATGAGGGAGTTGGACCAGACTCTTCTGGAGGTCTCTGCAGGCTCCGAGGGTTGCCCTGGCTTTTGCTGCCTCCAAGCCAGGCCCTTTTGCTGGGGACCCGGCTGTCCTGGGCCTGGAAATTGGCGACTAAGTTCAGCATGAACTGAAGCGATCGCCTGGGCGCAAATCTGGATCTCTGTGTGCCTTGGCCGTGTTGTTTAACCTCTCTGGCCTCAGTTCTCCCATCTGTCAAAGGGGTACACTGAGTACCAGTCACACAAGTGGCGTGAGAATTCGATGAACTAGGGCACATAAGCCCTTAGCACAGGGGAGACATTCACTGTTTGGTCTTTTGTTTTGTTTTGGTTTGTTTTTTCTTCTTGAGATGTAGTCTGGCTCTGTCGCTTAGGCTGCAGTGCAGTGGCAGGATCTTGGCTCAGCACAACCTTTGCATCCTGGGTTCAAGTGATTCTCTAGCCTCAGCCTCCCGAGTAGCTGGGACTATAGGCACATGCCACCACGTCCAGCTAATTTTTGTATTTTTAGTAGAGACTGGGGTTTCACCATATTGACCAGGCTAGTCTCGAACTTCTGACCTCTCGTGATCCGCACGCCTCGGCCTCCCAAAGTGCTGGGATTACAGGTGTGAGCCACCATGCCCGGCCTAATTCACTGTTGTTACTACAGATTGAGCAGCCCTGATCTAAAAGTCCAGAGTCTGAAGTGCTTCAAGATGCAAAGCTTTGAGTGCCGACGTGATGCCACAAGGGAAAATTCCACACCTGGCCTCATGTGATAGGTGATAGGTCAAAAAGCAGTCAGTAATTTTGTTTCATGCACAAAATTATGTAAAATATTGCATAAAATTACCTTCAGGCCATGCGTATGAGGTATATAGGAAATGGTCCCATCCGTAAGATGTCTCAGTATGAATATTCAAATATTCCAAAATCTGAGAAAAAATCCAAAATCTGAAACACATCTGGTCCTGAGCATTTGCAATAAGGGATATTCAACCTGTATTTTACCTGTCACACTCAGGTGACACCTCCTTTTTTTTTTTTT